CTCCTTGGCATCCATTGATGCCTGTACTGGGGATTTCGAGTTCGGTGCTTTCCTACAGTACACCAATTTCTTATCTATTTTCTGCTTCTCTTTTGTTTCTGAATCCCTTTTTTTTCTGAATTTTCATATGGGCACCTCATGAAGTAGGTTGGAGACCTTACTCTCCCCTGAATCTGGAACTAGTACCATTGTATTTTTGGCCTTGGGCACTGGGCCCAGATTTCCTTTAATAAAATGGTAGTTTGAAAAAAGAAAAGAAAAAAGGAATGGGCAAAAGAATTGAAAATAATTAAAAAAATGCAAAAAAAAAAAAAAAAGCTCTAGGCTAATAGCGGGGCCGCCTGGGTCACCCTGTTTTCCTGGGCGGCCTCCTCGTGCAAGGACCAGGGAAGATCCCAGCAAAAAAAAAAAAAAAAAACGAAGAAACACTATGTTATGCAAAAAAATAAACTGAGCAACTTTTGCCTCAGGGTCATTGAAATTCTTTACCAATTTAAAACATATACTAAGGTGGTCCGCGAGTTTCGCAAGCAGCGGTACGGTGACAACAACACACCGCTCCTCTATGTCCGCATCCAAGTTGGGCAAACGTCCTGCAGCGCTTTGCTGGATAGTGGCGCGTCTCGCAATTTCATGAGCCAAGCCTTTATGCAAAGGGTTGGCCTTGGCACACAAGTTCGGAGGAAGGCAAACCTGACGACGATCAAGTTGGAAGACGGAAAGACGCAACAACTTATCGACCGCTACATCAAGGTCGTACCAGTGTATTTCGCACCTCATGCATGCGAACCGGTGACGTTCGACATTTTGGACACGAACTTCGACATTATTTTGGGAATGCCTTGGCTTGCAAGTGCGGATCACACGGTCAACTTCCACCGGCGGACTCTTACCGTTCGCAACGCTTTCGGAGTCGAAGTGCCGTGTACTATTCCTCTTCCGCACCCTTCGATCCGATGCCAAGTGGTGATGGCCAAGTCATTCCGGGCTACTTGCGCTTACGAGCGGCCTAACGAGATAGGCCTATGTTTCCTACGGACCGTCGCGGTAGCCGACTCTTCACCCACGAACTTGTCTTCGGGGCCCCATGTAGTGCGGTTGGTTGACGAGTTCACCGACATCTTTGAGTCACCTACCGGTGTGGTTTCGGATCGGCCGATCTCTCACGAGATCATTCTTGAGGCCGGTGTCGTGCCCCCGAAAGGTTGCATTTACCGCATGAGCGAGGAGGAGCTTACGATCCTCCGCGGGCAACTCGATGACTTGATGGATAAGGGTTGGATCCGCCCCAGTAGCTCCCATATGGAGCGCCAGTTCTCTTCGTACGGAAGAAGAACAAGGATCTACGATTGTGCATCGACTTCGCGAGCGCTTTTGGTGGCCCGGCCTTCTCGGTGACGTCACACACTATTGCGAGTCATGTGAGGTTTACCGACGCTGCAAATCCCGCAACATCGTCCGGACGGCGAGTTGCGACCATTAGCGGTCCCCTTGCGCTCGATTCCCATGGCGGGCCGTTCCCCAAGCACAAAACCGGTGTGGATAGGATTCTTACGGTGGTTAAACGACTCACAAAGTTTGCCATGTTTTTGCCTTGCCGCTATCATGCCAAGGCACCGAAGTTGGCCGAGGTTCTTTACGCCGGTTGGATTCGAACCAAGGGTTACCCCAAGGAAATCGTCTGCGACCGCAACACTCGGTTCATGTCCGATTTTTGGTTGGCGCTCGTCAAACGATGAGGCTCATCTCTCAAGCCAAGTTCGGCTCGCCACCCCCAAACCGATGGCCAAACGGAGAGGGCGCATCAGACCGCACAAGTTCTCCTTCGCACTCTCATCCGTCCCGACCAAAAGGATTGGGTTGAGCGGCTGCCAAATGTCGAGTTGGCATACAACTCGTCCATCCACCCGGCTATCGAGATGTCGCCCTTCGAGTTCGAGCACGGCTCGCCGGTCACTTCGCCGTTGGACACAATCATTCCACGAATGGTCGAGAGCGACGACCATCTTCTTTTCTTGCGTCGGATGTAAGAGCTACTTGTCAAGGCACAAGACCAGATGGCCAAGACGCAGCAACGCGTGAGCCAACAGGCCAATCGCCAACGTCTTCCTTGCCCATTCCGTGTCGGTGATCTCGTTTGGGTTTCCGCCGCGGAATTCAGCCTTGAACAAGATATCTCTCGCAAGCTCCTCCCGAAATGGATGGGGCCTTGGCCGATCGTGGCACCCGCTGGGGATGCACCCGAGGGACCTTCCTTTACCATTCAAGTGCCTGCCCACTTGCCCGTCTACCCGGTCTTTCATTGCTCCATGTTGGCTCTTTACACGCCAGCGGAACATGACGATTTTCCGATCGCAAGACCCACCCTCTATGGACGGTTTTCAAGAGGTCGGCAGCATCATCTCCCAGCGGCACTACGGCAACAGGCCAACCGAGTACTTGATACACTTTGCGTACTGCAGTCACAAAGTTGACCGTTGGTTGACCCGTGCGGAACTCCAAGCAACATCTCCAGATGTTCTCGCACGCTACGAACGCAAGATGCACGGCAAGCCGGTATCTTCGGCTCCACGTCGCACCCACATCCACGTTCCACGTTCAGATCGTCAGCTTCGCCCTCGCCCCGGCTTGACTTCATAGGGGGTGTTACATGCTGCACCTGCAACAGGCTGCACGGGCCCCCTTTCAGGCCCATGACGTTTTCAGGCCAAAAGCCTGAAAACAAGGGCCTACAGGCCCTGTGTCATTTCAGCCTGAAAGCCTGAAAACAAGGGCCTACAGGCCCTGTGCCGTTTCAGGCTAAATCAGGGCCTTTCCGGCCCTGAGTGTTTTCAGCATGAAACTGAGGGCCATTTTCAGGCCCTCATCAGTTCGACCCGCCCTGAAACTCAGGCCGCAAACCAGGGTCTTAGCACAGGCCATTTTGGGCCTGTTTTCAAGACAACCCCTGGTTGAGCTTCAACGCCAGGGTCTGGCACGTTTCGGCATTGGCAAGAGCAGCCTCCTGGACGGGCCAGTACTATATAGGACTGGCCCGCCCTGCAGGCAGGCAGGTAGTTCCTAGGTACTTCCCAGGCACTTCACGTGCAGTTCAGGAGGCAGGAGGTAGTCTTCAGGATTCGGCAGCAGCACTCTGGAGGAGCGCTGCAGGAGTAGTTGTAGCGCTAGCAGTAGTCTTCAGCGCTGGGCGCTAGTAGCGTTACCAGTAGTCTTCAGCGCTGGGCACCATAGGAGCTGGAGTAGTACTAGAGAGAGAGATTGGGCGAAGGTCAGGGATACTTACCTGCAGCACCATAGCTCCAGCTTCGCCTTCGAGGTACCTGCAGCACAGCGCCATCTTCACAGGTTAGTACCTGGCATGTGAGAGAGAGAGAGAGAGTTCTTCTTCTTCCTCTTCTCAGTCCACCATCTCCCTCTCACCCTCCCGCTACCTGACTTCACTACATCCGCAGACTACGAGAGAAAGAGAGAGCTTGGTGACATTTGGATCCAGACTCGACATTTGGGCTTCAGACATTTTGACGAGGGATTATTTGGGACTTGCAACAAAGACTTGGTGTTGACTACATTCCCATCTCTCCCCCTCTTCTTCGTCTGTTCCCCTCCTCTTCGTGTGTGCATGATCTGGGCCTGGCGCCTTCTTCCTGTGTATAGCGCCAGGTCCCTTCACACCTTGTGATGAGGATGATGGATGTTTGGTCTGCATTGCAACATTGATTGGGCTACTCGTTTGTATTCTAGCATTCTGCTGCACTGTCTTACAGTACGTGATAGAGGTCAGTCCCGGTCAGGTCAGGACTTGTATCTAAGTCTTCCACTGCGCTATAAAGCACCATTTTTGTATGTATCAGAATGTACACTGCTTGTTGAGATTTCACTTGCACTGCATTGTCCATTCAGTCCTTTTTATCACATTGCGGATCCTCGGTTTATTATGTACATCGCCCAACTGGGCATGTAACAGCAGGGCACTTTCCTTCAAGGAAAGTGCGGCCCCTTGTTTGGCTGCGTGGGCCTGGCTGGACGAGTTTCCAGTAGCTTCCACTCGGCCCCCAGTGTCTGCGTCCAGGCCCACCTTTGCTGTTATGAGCCTGGGCCCATCCCTCCAGGCTCGAAGTGTTTGCCGCATTCTCATTGGCTCGCGGTGCATGTGTGACGACAATGCTGCATTCTCATTGGCCCGCGGCCAGTCCGTGATGTTTCGGCCTCGTGTAGCCTGTGCCCAGGGCGCAACCGTCTGAGCCCCGGGCTCAACTGTACAGCGCAGCTCTTGCTTCTGGAAGGAGCCTCTGAAGGCTCACGTTGCTCGGTAACCGACAGGCGTGCTGCAACTGTCTGATACCCCACATACGGAAAATGTTGAAAGTAGGCCTCACGTGGATATTCTGGCAGCCCCGCCTTCACTGGCGGGCACAATGCTTGCTGGGGGCCACAGCCCAGAACACTTGCATGTCTGTAAGGGCCCTGTGAGGGCTCAATCCTCGCACGTGCCGCTTTTATTGCCTTTTCGAACTTGGTGGGCGACTGACCTGCCCGTACGTGTTCTTTTTTTGCCAATTTCGAAACTTGATTGTGACTTGAACGTATTTGCCCCCTTTTCTGGAGAAGAGAGATTTTTTAACTACAAATTCTGAGAACGAGACCAGGGACCTAACAATTCTACCCGGAAAAAAATAATAACAATAAAATTTGGGCCATTACCCAGCTGCGGCTTATACTGTGAAACCGGTCCCCCCCCCCCCCCCCCCCCCCCTTCCTGTACATCCTGCTCCATTCTATGGCTGGGGATTTCACAAAAAAAAAAGAGGAAAAACAGGAAAAAAAATGAGAACTTGATAGGTTTTCATTTTCGTAACAAGAGAACAAACTTGGCAGACTGCGAACGAACTTCAGGCGTACTCACTTCTGGGCTTAACCGACTAAATCTGGCCATCATCGCTGCCAAATGCAACTAGCGAAGTCCTATGAGTATGCCCTCAGGGAGGCAGGAGTAGGCTTACCGTAAGTCCAAGAAGGGCATTTGTGTTCTTCTCCGACGGGAGGTCCCATACCAGAAGTGGTGCTGGCCTTTGCTGATAGAAAGTCAAAAGTCAACATATGTCGAAGTTCAAAAGAAAAAGTTAGCTCCTTTTTTTTTTTTTTTTTTTTTTTCAAGCTCCTTTTTTTGAATGGCTGGTTTCATATCCAGAACTAAAGCACAAAATCCTCTTTCGTCTTTTAAAAATCATCATCGCTTTCATTAACCACAGCAGTGACAGCACAAAATCACAATAAATTAGAGCAGATGTCAACAAAAAAACGGAACAAGCATCACAAAGGGTCTCACTCAGCTAAGGTAGTCTCCACTCTCGAAAAAATTGAGAGTCCTTTGAGAGCTGCCAGACTCTTGAAAACAAAGAAATTCCTGTCTTCGGTCCACTTACTCTAGAAAGGTGGGACTTTCAAATGTCGAGAGCACTACCCGGCAGCACTACCTGACAGGCAAAAGCTTGGTTTCTCCACTCCGACTCGAGGTGGGCTCTTGAAAAATGAAGGGCCCTTTTGAGAGCACAGCCGGGGCCATTCAAGAAAAAAGTAAGTTGCACGTGAGGGCACTTTCCAACACGTCCGATAGTGCTCTCTTCGAGAATGGTATCTAACAGCTCGCTCTCAAGGCAGGTTTTTGAGAGCACCTTTCGAAAGTAAGAGTGGAGCAAGGGGGGAACTTCCCATTTTTCTAGAGTCGTGAGTAGCGGACCCGCCGGAGCGACACCCAAAGTACGAGTCTCGCTGACAAAATGCAGTGGGGTTCTCGGAACCGGTGCAACCAATCATGGAACCAATCATGGAACCAATCAAGGAACCAATCATGGAACCAATCATGGAAAGATATGCCAGAACAGATCTAAATAGTAAATAGAGAAGGAGAGATGGTGGGCGGAGGAAGACAAAATCAGACGGATGAAGACAACAGGAAACAGTATCATGACAGAAAATAAAACTTTCCGAAGGTTTCCGTCTTCTTTTTTTCGTGTTCGAAAAACAAAGAATCATCGCAGTGCAAGGCCACTAGCGTCTTCACCGGAATAGAACGCCCGGTCATTATAGCTGTGTATCTGGACTCAAAATTGTACCAGATACGGCTATAATGACCGGGCGTTCTATTCGGGTGAAGACGGTAGCTCAGTGCTGGTGTGAACCACCGGGATGATTGAGGCCTTGCTGGAAGGATGCCTCCAATCTCTTGGTGGGCCGCAACACCATCTTATGGGAATTCGGCCCAGCGTCCCATATAAGTACATATATAGTCCAGTCCAGTTGATTGCTGCCCTCTCTCCTTCCCTTGCTATTGCCTCTCTTGTCATATAATTTTCTACCATATGTGTTCTCTGGCCTCCCTCATTTTTAAACCACCAGTACTTGGACCAGCTATCGGCCGCGGAAAAGAAAAAAGAGTAGAAACATTTCTAGTCGGATGAATTTGGCCACTCCTGTAGCAGCCCGTACGTTTCCTAAAATCATGGCGCGTTAACGGGCACGACTCTAGGAAGTACTGGTGGTTTAACTAGAACTTACTACAGACCCCTTATGAGTCATGACCCCATTTCTGCTTCCCAGCCTTTCCACCCTGAGCTCGCGACCCAATCCTTATCAGGGCTAGGCCCTAAAAGAGTCCACTATGTTCATGGGTCCATAGATAGCTGATGCCAGAACGACGCTGGCCGGTGCTGGGGCGCTGCCATGTAACCCACAGTTGGTGGAAGCGTGAGGCCTGGTAGAGAGATCTGGGACTTCCTTTGCGGGGCCTCCCAAGGGCCACCTGGAAGCTGTGGCCAGGGCGACGCTGGTCGGAGCCGGGGTAAGGTTATGATGCCTTGTAACCTGGGAATGATCGGGGGGGGGGGGGGTGAGACCTGGTAGTGACCTGGACAGAGAACATGGTTGCTTCAGTGGGGGGTTGGCTTGGCCTAAGTCTTGGGTATTCTGGTTATTGGGGTTCTTCCTGTAAGGATCTCCTCAGTTGCCCAGACAATTCTGAAATGGTACAAGTCCAGTGGCCTTAAACCACCACTACCTTTCACAGTGTAGTCCCAAAGACTCCCAAGTGGGAATATAACCTATGGTCCTATACCGCATTCTTCAGTGGCCAGGCCGCCGTTGATAAATTTCATCGGCAGCCTTTGTTTCGTTATGGACTCCGAAACCCACGGGACCTTGCCTGAGAATGATGTGCGGTGAAGGTAGTAGTAGTTAAAAACAAAGAAAAAGATAAAAAACTTCAAAAAAGACATTGATCTGATCCAATCAAACGATGATTGGGAGATGCAAACATGAGAGTCACCTTGTTCCCTCATGCTTGCCCGTGATAAGCAACCGGACTGTTGCCCCCCAGAATAGATGGGGACAGACAGATAACAAAGATACGGAACAGACGACACGAGAATGACCCAAACCCCAGAACCAAATGCCATCAAGACAATGGATTCGCGCGAAAACAGGCAGTAATAATTACCAGAATAAGCTCGAGATCTGCCATGCTAGAGTGTCCCTACACCGCGTTTCATCTGCCCACCCGCCAGAAGCGTCGTAATCATTTGGGGGACTGTGAAGCGCGTGTCGTTATTGCATTGACATTAAGCAATGGCTTGCGAGTAAAGGAACGTGCAATTGGTGACTAGTACTGACTACCTCTTTGCTGTATCAATCAGGTCCACAGACTCTCTGAATTGACTGTGTAGTACGTACTGAGTTCGAGCTCTACCGTCAACTCTTGGAAGCCTCAGTTAACTGACAATTCTATTCTAAGTTCACGAAAATGAGCATACGAAAAAAAGTTTAAAAAGCAGCATTTTTTAGCATTTTTTTGTCCCCATGACGTCGGATGATCAGATCATTGGGTGTTGTGGCGACGCGTGATGATCTGATCATCGGATGTATGCTGACGATACTTCACGTTGAGGTACCTCAGATGGTAAAAAAAGGGAGATAACCACTTTCTCACCCAATGAGCAATGAACATTGAACTTGAATGAAGAAATTTTGACATAATCCACTTTTTCGTGAATTTAGAAAAAAAAAATGTCAGTTTTAAGTTTTAACGAAATGTCAGTTCAGTTAACTGGAGAAAGTCAACAGCAATTGTGAAAGGTGGTGAACGGTTGGCGGTCGACGAAAGGGGGGGGGGAGGGGCAGTGGGAGGGGTCTTGTGAAAGGGAAGACCCAAAGACAGAGAGAGGAGGGGGAGGGCGGGGGGGAGGAAGCGAATGTCATCATCCCTTGCATTGCAAAACACCTTTAAAATTTTAGATACAAAATTCATAAAATTTGCACATGGTCTCCATCGGCTTTGCAACAAATTTGGAATGAACCGCCAAGTGCTCCAACGTGTGAAAGGGAGACACTGCCCACTTCCTCTTCTGTTTTTTTTTTTTTTTTTTCGTTTTTATGCTGCCTACTTCCCTTACCTTAGGCATGGGAGGAGGATACTGGCCAGAGATTATCCGATTCCCACCGTGATCGACGGCCATCGCCGAGACAAAGGCTGAGTGTCCCTGGAGAACATGCTGCCCATTTTTCACAAGTGCCAAGTGGAAACATTGTCAGAATCTATTTTCAGGCTGCAACATGTGCAACATGAAGCGTGTGAAAGCAGAAACCCATGGAATCATGGATGCAGGACGGATGAGAGCAGGCTATCACCTTGTACTCACACATTGAATGGAAAACTCTGCCGACTGTTACAGTAGGTTTATGCCACCTTCAAGAGCCAGGGAGTCAGAGGAGAAATGCTCATCCCTAACAGGGAACAAGACAGTTTTTTTAACAAATAAATAAAGAAAACATCACACTTTTGCAATGTCTCTACTCAGGGGATGATGAAGGAATCAGTAACCCTTTCTATTGGTGGGACGGTGCGCCTGCTGGACACCAGGCCCAGTGTCCCTTATGGAACATAATGGTCAGTACCAAGGCAACCAGCAGGGCAGCAAGGCAGAAAGGGAACCAGGCAGCAAGAAAGGCAGCAAGGCAGCAAGGCAGCAAGGCAAGGCAAGAAGCAGGGCAGCAGGTCAAGCAGAAGGCAGCAAGTCAAGGCAAGCAGCCAGGGAACGCGCCACTGAACAGCAAGGAAGGGTAAGCCACATTGGCCGGAGGGGAGGGGTGAGGCACCTGGGCAGCCAAACAACAAGGGCGGCATGATGAGCCAAATGACAGGGCAATCAGCCAGGTAGCACAATGAGCAGCAGCAAGGAAATAAAGCGGCAGAGCTAAGCGGCACGACAAGCAGCCGGGGACTGCATTGAGCAGCATGGCAACGAGACAGCAAGCCTTAGGGAAGCAGCAGGGCAGCACATTGAACAGCAAGGTAGCAGGACAAGCAGCAGAACAGCATGATAAGCAGCAAGCGAGCCAGACAGCAAGGCAAAGAAAGGCAAGCAACAGCAAGGCATAGGCTGGAGGGCATGGGGGAGGCGTGTGGGAAGCCGAGCGGTAAGGCAAGCAGCAGGGCAGCATCAGCAAGGTACCGCCAACAAAGCCGTCTGCTCGTACCGCACGGACCTAAGCAAATCATCAACCACTCACACCACAAGCAGAACTCCAGAGACTGTTGGTTCAGGCCACCATCTGAGCCATGGAGTCACTCTGTAAGGACCTGCCAAACACGGACTGAGACACACAGCTGATTTCTGAGTTTTGCCAACAGAATGTATGCCTTGCTGAATTTCCCGCTTGTTGCTGAGTTTTCTAAGTCTGCATGTGTGTGTGTTTGCTGGTCTGCGCGCCTGTCTGAGTGATTGTCGGTTTGAGTGTGCGTGTGACCCCCAAGGGTACTCGTCCGTATGGGAGGCCCGAAGGGCCGGTACTTACCTGTGGCCGTGACATTGAGGGTTGCAGCAGGGAAACACTCAAGTGGCGGGCACTTAGAGCAGCGGAAAACACTCAAGTAGCAGGAAGGCCGGTACCAAACCAAGTAGAGGTAGATGTGACGGGGTACTCGAGGCCGAGCAGAAGAAGACAAAAGTTGGCATTTTTAGAGGCCCAGTAGTTGTAGGCTAGGTCTAGGCGGGTACCAGTCCAACCAGTTTGAGTCTAGGGCCTGTACGGGCAATATCAGAGTCTGCAATGATGTTTCCCACTGAAAGGGAGTAGGTACCAGTTGCGTGGAGGCCGCGCGGCCTGGAAGTCACCAACCAAGAGGCAAGCAGGCCGTTATATCTCCTGGAGGAGCAAAGAGCTCCTCCTCATTCTTCGGTGTGCAAGTTTGGCGACACATTGCTTGGAGTGCTGGCTGGAGTAGTGCTGGTTGGAGCAGCGCTGCTGGGGAGGAAGGAGCGCCCAGCTCCCCACCTGGGCTACGGTGGAGGAACACGGGCTGGAGGAGGAGGAAGCCGAGGACTATGACGGGAGAGCGCCAGAGGTACTTACCTGGCTATGGTGGACGCCATCTTCATCACCTTGGTGGGCGCTGCAACTGGAAGGCCCCAGTTGAGGTAGAGCTACACCAAGAAGCTTCGAGGCAGAGTCGGGCATGGCGGCCTGAGCTAGAGCAGCCATAGCTGCTTTGAGTTGTCTTTTGCACATCAGGGCAAGGCCCTAGCAGTCCGCCATAGCCTCGGACTTCATGAAGAGGAAGGAGAAGGGTGGCCACTGGCCATGGCTATGGTGGACCTCATGTTGTACCTGCAGTGGAAGAGGGATTCGGACATTGATTCTGGTTCAGCCATTCAACATTATTATTATTATCATGAAAAAACTGCGCCTGTGACTGCTGCACAGTTCAGAATTCGCAGAAATAACAGTCCGCTGCAAGATTGGGCTGTGAGCAGTTCGAAACAGCAAAAAAAACAGTAAACTATGTGTTCGACGGCCTACCGGCTCATAAGTGGCAAAAACGGGAGGTGGCCTGGGCTAGTGGTACCTCCCTTTATCCCATGGCCTGGCCTGGGAGCAGGTACCGGTAGCAGGCCCTCCCGTTTTTCTTGTTTTTTTTTCTTCTCATTTTTGGCTTCTGGCGGGAATAGGTTTGCGCGGGTAGCCGTGGACTGCGGTCGTGGAAACCCCGCTGTCTGTGTGTGTGTGTGTGTCAGAGAGAGAGAGAGAGAGAGAGAGAGAGAGAGAGAGAGAGAGAGAGAGAGAGAGAGAGAGTTTTCCAGCCATGCACGCAGGGAGA